ATACCATGAAGGGCTTTATAAGTTACGACTAGCACTTTGAAGCGTATCCGGAGACCGATCGGTAACCAGTTATGTAATAGTATACATGTGATTATATGTTATGAAAATGGAAAATAAAAAAGTTTTGCTTAAAAAAAAAAAACTACACTCGGGAAATGGTCAAATAGAGGAACAAAGATCTCTGTTGATGGAAAGAATTAATAGTAATGCATTTTAATGTATTCTGTTCCTCATTTTGTTTCTGCAAACATAACTTGTCAATAATGGTGATTCTATTATAGAATTGCAAAACAAATAGCTAGAGATGTCTACCTATTATACGATCTTTTTTGGGGAAAGAGAGGTGTATTAATATCTACTTAATTTTTCCCCTGGGAGCTCAAAGCAGTGTATTTAGCAATCTTTTAATGGGTAAACTTGACTGAGAGAGCATGGTTAGCCCCAATCATTTGATGGGTTCAGAGGAAACTAGAATATCCCTTGTCACAGGTTCAGCACCTCAATTAGTGTGCTATCAGACTTCACAAACTCCTTTGGGGGTGTTATATTCAATGAAGATTAAAACTGAGGGTCTTGTCTGTCTACCTGTGTGCGTATCTTTTTTGTTTTAATAGAATTTTTCACCTTCATATAACTTGGGATGGTGGGAGGAAAGCTTATAATAGTAATAATAATGCATAGCTGAACAAATGCAAAATCCCTGTATTCTTTAGAAATTAAATGAAGTAGACCTAGTAAACTAAAGATGGGATTGTGCATTAAACATCAGCAAACAAAACCTTTTCATCTTTTGATATTATCCTGATTACATTGCCCTGAAAATTATGAATTGTTTTTCCAACTATTAAAAAAAGGTATGAATGTTTGGAAAGTTCATTGATATGTTTACTTTCTCATGACAGGAAACTAGCCAGAATTTTTTTTTCAGACCAGCCCAAAATAAGGAACTTAAGCATTTATTTTATTGTCAGTTACATACCTTTCTTTTCTCTTTGTACAGGTGCCCATGATTCTGGTTGGCAATAAATGTGATTTGGAAGATGAACGAGTAGTTGGCAAAGAACAGGGACAGAATTTAGCAAGACAGTGGTGTAACTGTGCCTTTCTAGAGTCATCTGCAAAGTCTAAAATCAATGTTAACGAGGTAATATTGGTTGATTTTTCAGAAGCCATTGTATTACCTGGCTTGTAAACATGAATGTATTTTCTGTTTGTATAGTTCTATTGCATTTTGCCAGTAGAGTTTCTCAGAAATGTTCCCTTTCATGTGCCAGTCTAAAAAAAGCTTTTCAGATAATCACCATTGATATTTTTGTTCCAAAAATTCAATTAATTAAAAATGATAATTGCCCCATCAAAGCATATAAGCCTACATTGCTGCCTGTTAATGTTTTCTTCTTAATGCAGAAGTGATAATAAATTCAATTATTTCATTAACAAGACAAAACAAATGTCTGAGGAGAAATATCTTTGACTCCTGATGAGCAGATGGAGTTATTCTTATTAAATGATGAATACCCGGGTATTTTGAAGGCAGTAGCATTGTTGTTGNTAAATCCTAAATCAACAGTGGAGAACATCATTGTTTGGGATACATTTTTTTTTCATTTCTAAATTTTCAAAAATTACATTGAAATAATTGATACCGTGTTTCCTCAAAAATAAGACAGGGTCTTATTTTCTTTTGACCCCCCGGAATAAGCACTTGGCCTTATTTTTGGGGAGGTCTTATTATTTTTGAGGTGCAGGAGGCAGTGAGCATGGTCACCTCATGGCTGCAGCTGTGTTGCAGTATTTCCAGGGAGGCCTTATTTCAGCACTTGTGCTCAAAAGCCCGATTGGGCTTATTATCCAGGGAGGTCTTATTTTCTGAGAAACAGGATATCATTAAAAATACATTTGCATGCTTCATTGGTTTTCTAGAAGAGCAGAGTGAAAATTTCAACATTAACAATGGCACTTTTGTGTCTGGTTTAACATGAGCTAACTCTTGAATAGTTAATTTTTAAATATATGTATATATTGATTACAGGAGCAATTTACCGCAATGAGGGATCTGTATATGAAGAATGGTCAAGGATTTGCACTAGTTTATTCTATTACAGCACAGTCCACGTTCAATGACCTACAAGACCTGAGGGAACAGATCTTAAGGGTCAAGGACACTGAAGATGTGAGTACAGAGGGTTTTTGTCTTATGAAATGTAGCATTTTTAAACAAGGCACCATCTGTTTTTGTGCAGTGTCTATGTGACTGAAAAACTGTTCTAAATATTTTGTATGATGCAATAACATTCTCAATTGATTGAACATTTTTTTTATGTGGCTATTACTGGAGAATTAGTCACCAATGTTCAGCATCTTGAATGGGTACTGAACTCTGGAAAAATTCAAATCATGCAGTAAAGGGTCATTGCATATCTTTTGCTATAGACAAGTTGACCATTAAGCTAGATGCCCCATCCTGTCCTCCCAAAGCATCAGCTTCCACTGAACTATGTTGCTGGTGTTCTCAAAGACTCATTTAGTTCCATTACTTTTTTTTACCTAGAGATGCATTTGTCACTCTTAATAAGAAATGTTTCTAATTACCCTTACAACTATTTTGTGGCTTTTTAAAAACTGCATAAAATTATTGGTAAATTAAAGAATCAAAAGTACTACCAAACCTAATTGCATAACGATTTTAAATGTTGCACTTACAGTAAATAATCCTTCATTAACTTATAGCAGCACAGGGTTTTTCTTTCTTTCTGGTACTCCTAATTTGGAGAAGTGACTTCCAGAATGTGGCTTAATGACATAGTATTCAATTCCATTTAGTGAAAACGAAATTCATAGAATAACAAGGTTGAAAAAGGCCTTAGAGGTCTTCTGCTCCAACCTCCTGCTCAAGCAGGACACCCTATGCCATTCTGGACAAGCAGTAATCCAATCTCTTCTTCAAAAACCTCTAGTATTGGTGGATGCACAACTTCTAGAGGCACAGCATTCCACTGATTATTGTTCTCACTGTCAGGGAATTACTCCTTAATTCTTGGTTTGATGAGTCTGTGATAATCTTCCACCCGTTACTTCTTGTCCTGCTCTCAGATGCTTTGGAGAATAGATTGACACCCCCTTCCCCTTTTCTGTGTGACAGCCCATGAAACACTGTAATCATGTCACTCTTAGTTCTTTTCTTCGTTAGACTAGACATATCTAGTTCCCACAACCGTTCTGCATTCTTTGTACAGCCTCAGCATCTTTTTTGTATCATGAGACCAGAACTGATGCAGTATTCCAATGCAGTGTGGTGTTACCAGTGCACTATAAAATAGTACTATCACTTCATGTGATTTTGAAACTATCTCTCTGTTGATGCAGCCTAGAATTGCTGGGGAGGGAAGGGGGGGGGGAGTTGCAGCACACTGCTGGCTCATACTTAAGTAGTTATCCATTAAGTCACCTAGATCCCTGTTATAGTCACTAGTGTTGAGCCAGGTACGACCTATTTTGCGCTTAGAGTGGTTGTACAAAATTTTATATTCAGAAGTAATGTTTCTATTACTTAGTTTGGCTAAGGATTCTTCAGTATTTGAGCTGTTTTTGGTCACATTTAAAAACATTTGCTTCTCTTCCATCCATAGTCTAGTGATGTGTGCGAATGTTTGTGTGTGTGTGTGAATATAAATACGTTAATTAAATAACTCATTTTCCAACCAAAATGACCGACCTTCTTCCCTTTTTTTCTCTTTATGGTAAACTACTTACTTATTGCATAAGCTTTGGTAGAAGCATTAACAAGTTGCCAATTCTTACTATAGACAGGAAACGACATTGCTATATTTGTTTTATAATATAAGCATCTCCCTACCTTTCTCTGGGAGCTGAATTGCTATTTAGTATTTTATCTACTAAATGGGACAACAAGTGATAACAAACAGTGATAACAAGAAGATGTGTTTGTCAGGGATACACATACACATTTGCACGAACCAGTAGGAATTATTGTCGTTGGTTCAGCGAACCAGTAGTAAAAAAAAAAAGCTTTTGACAATCGCGCAACTCACAGCTGATCTGCGCAATTATCAAAAGCTTTTTTCACTTTTTAAAACATTTTTTTCCTGCCCGAACCAGCAGGAAGCTGGTTAAAGCTAGAATACTATGTATTTTTTCCTTTACCCAAAATTGGAATAACTAAGGCTGCAGCTGAAAGTGAAGACTATATAGTTCCATTGCAAATGGAAATAATTTTTAATAGGAAAAATATCAAGAATGCAGTAGTTTATCCTAGAAATATCAATTACACAAAATATACATTATTTTGGCAGTATATTTTACTATTAATGTGATAATATTGATCTAATCTGGTCTTTTCCAGGCATTCTAGAGTTGAATCACAAATGAGAAATGAGGACCTAACTTTCCTTTGCTTGAAATGGAATCATAATTTTGTTTTTATGAATTTCGTTATAAACTTACCTGCTACGGAGATGAATAAAATTAATGGTGAAGTTTACCTTCAAATCTTCTCTGTCAGAGTAGGGAAGTCAAAATGAAGAAGTGGAACTGGATAATATATTTCAGTCTCTGTCTAACAAATTAGATGTGATAAGGCTGAAGATGACTTTATTTTGAAATCAGAAAATACTATATTTAAATTGTTATTGTTGAAGAATTACCTACTAAGATACATGAGTAGAGGGATTTTAGTTGCATATTTCTGCTTTTCTAATGTTATGCCAATCATTGTTTCATTTTCTTTTCTATAAGCTTTTACTATCCATTCTGGCTTAAGTAGATATATAAAAAAGGTACTTGTAAAACTAATCTTCCTTAAAATAGGGATTAGTTTTCTTACAGAGCCCTTGAAATCCAATTCTTTTCTAAGCATCTAAGTCAAAGTCCTATAGCTTGTGAAGCCGTTTTCACCCATGAAGTGATACTTTTATCAGATGACACTAGTCTTCAATCTAAATGAATTAAATTGAAGACTAGTTCCATAATTCTGCTTGTTTCTGATTTTTCTTTTTTACTAACACATTACTTTTCAGGCTTTAATATGCTAAAATGTTCTCATTTGTACTGTTGTGAATGGCAATGCCAGGGGACATGAATGACTTTAAAATATAGTATAACTTCTTTTAATCAAAATGCTTTCTCTTCTATTTGGAATATTACATTTTTAAAACAATGTTAATAATCAGCTTGAAGTAAGTTGAATACGATCAGTGTGCAGTAGTTGAGAACAGTGTTCCCTCTAAGGAGCGCAGGTGCGCGGCCGCGCATGTGGCAACAAAACACAGCGCAGCAGTTTCCAATTGCCGCGCAGTGGTTTTTGTAAGACACGATAATGGGAGAGGAGAGCCAGCCTGGAGACAGCAATCACTTCTAGGTTCACAAGGCAGAAAGCAGCTGAGAGAAGGGGTGTGGGGGTTGGGAGAAGGCATGGGACGGGCTC